TTGTGAAACATGGGATTATCTAGAGAGAGGATAAACCCAAAAGGAATCAAGTTGCACTTTGAGCAGAGAGGGCTTTTCTTCTAATCAGGCATTTGGTTAAGATAATAGGCTTGAGATCCTAATTGATTATTACTATTTTAAGGTTTTAAGATGGCTATGTATAGTGAGATGCTGAAGATGAAAAAGGTTTTCAAAATGCTTCAGAGCTAGTCTGGGGGACTTGTGTAATTTCAAAACACTGCAAAGGAATCAGTCTCCCAAAAAGCTGATCTCCAAAGCTTAATACATTGTCACTAGGACTGTGGTGGAAGAGAAATAACTGGATTTGGATTTTTTTCATCTTCAAAGGAGTAACTCTTCCCTGGTTTTATTTAAGCGTGGATTTCAGGAAACCAGCTGTATATCTGTTTAGAAAATACCTGGTATATTTATGGTGCAATCTAACTATTTTATAATAAAAATAATACTGTTGGATAACACAAGGAAGCTTGCTAATTAAATAACAATAATACCTTGAGCACCTTGAAAACATCTTCTGATATTCAATTAGGGAACAATAACCCGATGAACTTTAACCTGTAGACCATATTCAGACTTTCTACATAAAAGTAATTGCATCAGTCATGATTTTCTCAAGCTACAACACAAGCTCTTGATTGGTAGCTCAACGTCTGAGACTCCTTTTTACAGCATTAATTGGGAAAGCAGACAATACTCTCCCTGTAAACTAGATTTTAGGACGAAGGTTAGTTGCCTTTGTACACATTTACTCATTGAAATAGGAATGTTTGCTTAATAATTCAAAACAAATAGCATTAGACAACAAGTCCTAATGCTGATTTCTCCTCTGCCAGTGTAAATTAGGAGAAAATTAGGTGAAACTCTATTTGAAAAGTGTAGAAAGACTTGTTTAAAACTTCTTTGAGATCAGAATTAGGCCCCAACAATTCAAGCCTTTTCTTCTGGCTTCTTTACTGGGGTCTAAAAGGAGAATATGTAAATTGCATTATTAATTTTCTCCCCAATTAAAGCCATCATCGAGTTATGGAAAGATGTTTTTCATGTGGTACTTGGTACATAGTGTGGCGTGGCCTTTATAAGCTACACCAAACATGTGATTGTGTAGTGGTATATTATTTATTAGTTAGTATCCTGATCTGCTGTATTCATTTTGGTCTTACTGGCCTGTTTTTTTTTTCTCCCTTGGGGGAAAACTGATCATCCTCGTGAGCCGGAGTGAGGTCTTGTGTAATGAGCTAACTCCTAGCTGCACCCAGACTGGGCTTGAAGGAATGATTCAACAATATATTGAAATGCCTCCTTAACTTTGTCAACCCATCTTTATTTGGCAGGACAAATAAGCGTGTGCTGTATTCAAGCATGTGATTAAAATTAAGCACATGCTCTAACTGCTTTGCTGAGTCAGGGCCTGCCTTGGCTAGCCAGGTGCCTTAATTGATCCCACGAATTTCAGTGAATGAGCTCTGTTAGTTTTTTTATAAAGTGAGGGAAAATTCTCTCACCCTCATTTTGAACACCTGCTTTACTACCAAAATGTGACTGTCGCACAAAGCTGTGGAGCTCACCCGACCATACACAGCAATTTCCACGTCCTATCTTTGGGATACGGAACAAAAGGATCACAGTGCACGTATTTCAGTGAAGTGCCGAATGAAAAGTAAATCTTGCAAGCTTTCAAGATGTTTAATCATCTTTTCAGTAAAGGAGCTCGTTAATTCTAACATCTGCATATGTAATTGCTTGACTTTACCTATTTTTTTTCTCATTTAGAATTAAGTGGAACAGGAAAATTGATTTTTTTTTGCATTTTGACCCCCGTTAATAGGCGCAGAATGTCTACTTCACATATTTTGTCAATCCTGCAGTTTCCCAGCCATTCTTTTATGTGTCTTGCTTCTTTGTCCTGTTTCTCTCATCTTCTCTTTGGGCTGTTACCACAGCTCAGTGAAAGCTGCAGTCTCAGGCCTGGATTTTGCAATCTGAACCATCCAGGCAAACCTTTAAACTTTCATGGGGTTCTACTGAACTGCAAATTCACAGACCAGCCGTGCATCGAAATGAGTTCAGGATACAACTCTAAGCCAAAGGCATTGCTTTTATGGGTATCAAGATATTATTAATCATTGGTGAGATGAGCCCCCGATTTCCTAATGTTTATAAGTAAATAACAAATTGGAGAATTGTGAAATTCACCTTTCATTTGTGAAATGTTTATTTTCGGTATTGAAGGATGAGAATCTAATCACTCTCATTGACGTGCTGTTGTTTAATGATTACTGTTACGTGCACACACATAAGAAATGTTCTTACAGTGGTGAGGGGACATTTCAAGTATGCCCAGCAAAATAAGAATGATGAAGTTAGCAGACCCCAGCTAATTTCTTTGACTTTACTGATGCTCTGCAGGACCCTGAGAGCCAGAATGTATTTAAAACCATTCTAAGACATTTGCATTTATGGTTTGGTGTTTGCTAGGTTAAGTTAATGTTGTTAACTGGTAACAATCATGTTTTTACTGGAGGATTACAAAGGGCTCTGGACTTTCTCTTAAAAAAAAAAAATCATCTCATGTCATACCATTGCTGCAATTTGGTTTTTACTTCCAAATTTAAATTTCACCTTCACTCCTAGTGCGATAGGAACCTGCCTGGGAAATGCAGGTGGGAGTGGACACCAGAGCAGAGCCAGTATGGTGCACTGTGAAAAAACAACACGTGACAGATGTTCATAGCATTGCTGAATGCACTTCTGGAAGTTGCTCAGATACTGCCATGATGAGCACAGTATGAGAAGTTATATAGCATAGACTGGCTTCTCTACCAAGGGCTCTGCGGAGTAGTAAGCGTCCTGGCCCTGATCCAGCAAGGCACTTAAGCATATGCTTAATTTTAGGCACATGAGTGGTTTCAGTGAAGACCTAAGAGAATTATTTTTAATTCACAGATCATTTAATTCAATAGGCAGGTCTGCTGTAGCATATGAAAAGTAGATCTTCATATTAAAAATACTTGGGAAATTGTCAATGAACAAACATTGCATGCGGCTAGCAGTCATTTCTAAAAAGCAGAATGATGTGTATGCATTACCTGTATTATGGTAAAATACAAAGCAGATCAGGCAAAAGCATTTACAATTATCTAAGAGCTATTTGTAACTTGAAAATAAAAAAAAATAAAAGCTTGTAAGAACACTTTTTCATTTAAAGTAGAGAAAAATTTATTCTCTTGATGCAAATAAAAACCTTGTTTGCAGATTGAGGAATTTGTTTGTGTTGAATTTCAGCATCAATTTCAATATTTTATAGTACATTTATCTACAGCTGGAGCATGACAGATTTGTGTATATTTATATGTTTGTGTACATAATACATATGTATACACACATACACAAGGACGCCCAAAGATATACATACGCACAGTTTGAAAACTCATCGTTATTGCTGAAGTATAAAAAGATGCCTGGTGTAGAAACTTGTCTGGAGTCTGTTAGCTTAGCGACTGCGTTCAGCTGGCACAGTAGGATCCTCTCAGAAACTGGGAAGTTCTTCTGTGCAGGAGCAGAATTCTCTGAGAACTTGGCTGGAGAGGAAGGGCTGACCTCCCTCCAGGTCTCTCCCAAACCTTCCCCTGACATGTCACCCTCTGTAGTCCTGCACGCGAGATGTGTTTCTTTTACTTCCCATTCTGCAGGTGGAAGTGGTGGTGGGGTGTGTGTTTCTGTTTTTTTTTCTTAACAACCTCAAAAGAAAGGCAGGAGAACAAAAGTGCAGCTTGCATTAGTCCTATTGCTCCGTTCATTAGAGGAAGGTGGGGAGGTATTGCCAGGATGAGCTTGGGGGACAGAGGAATATGCCAAACGTGGGGGACTGGTACTGAGTCTGACAAACAATTCACAACAGAGCAGATGGTGCCCCTGCAAAACACTCAATAATATATGTGTGCGTGCACTGGAATCAGTGACTCTAAGTAGGACAACCTAAAAAGGTATGCCACTTATCCTGTGGACAAGCAGGACTTTACAGTTCTTTTAATAATCTCTTTATCCTGAGATTTCTCCTTTGACCCTGATTTCAGAGGCAGGAGGGCAGCCTGGCCTGGAGACCTCTAATTGTAGTCCAGCTCTATCCCGCTCCGCACACTTACACTGGGTTGCAGCCCAAAAGCTGCTCCTTTTGTAATTGATCATACCCGTGAAAATTAAATGAACATTTGGTGGTAGGCATGTTTTCAGAGAAGAAGGAAAACGCTGTTATGTAAAGTGTAATAACATTTTGATACCGAGTGTAGAGACATTCCTTGCACAAGGGAGGCGAGCGTGGAAGCGTGCACCCTGGTTCCTAAAGACTCTCCAAAGCTCACAGTTAATACTTTGCTTATACAGAGATTTATTTTTCTTTTTGAAAGCTAGTTTTAAATGTGAGAATATTTTTATTATTATTTTTGATAGGGAAGACATTCATTTAATTCTTTTTAACCAGCTGCTATTTTAAGATTTCCCTAGTGTAACCTTAGAAAAATGAAGAGTACATCTTTAAATCTTGTTTTGTTTGAATGAATGGGTAGATAATCCTGATCAGATGTTTCTTTAGAGAATAATGTTTAAAACGATTATGGAACTTAGCTGTCCTGTCTGTTTCCTAGGTACAGTATTTTCATTTCAATTGTGAAGTCATTAGGGGTCATCCAAGGTAACCGTTTATTAAAATAGTCCTCTTTTGTTTCAGATTTCCTGTTGAGATGCTTTAACATGTAAAAATCTCCCTGCTGATGTGTCATGTTAGCTTTCCTAACCTCCAGACAGAAACCACAAAGCAGCCTGCATAGCTGTATGACTAGTTACCCACCTACATAAACAATAATTACTGCTAAGTGGGAAATTAGATGTCACATTTTAAGTCTAAATGAAAGTAAAGTATTTGAGAATACTGTCATTAAATGCTTAAAGCTAATCGCACTTCTCTCACTCTGTTTGTTTTGTAGGACATTTGGGCTTCCAGGACAGTTTTGTCACATCAGGTGTTTTCAGTGTGACTGAGCTAGTAAGAGTCTCACAAAGTAAGTATCATTCTGTGGCTGGTTTATATGGTTTCTGTTATCCCAGACTTTTCCTTTGATTCATATCGTGCCCCTTCCCCAATTCAGAAACAGCATCTTGAAAACTGAGTCCTTCCTCCCTGCCAGTGGACAGTGTTTATGTGCCTCATTTTTTAATGTGAGAAAATAAAATAGCATAATTTTTTAAAGTAAATTTAAGAAATTTAATTCTGCAAACTTGCCTGTGGAAGTTGATAAGCTCCTCTGGTAACCAGCTGAAAATGGGCAGGCTCTGTATCAAAGTGCAGATAAATGCCTGCAGGGCTCAGCTTACCCAGGGGATCCCTTGCAGGATCCAGGGACTGTGTTTTAACCAGACCTCCAGAAATGACATGGTATGTGCACATAAGCCTGGGATTTTCTTCTTTTGCACATTGTGTCCATCCATGCCACACATACATGTGTTTGTAGACCTGCAAACTGATGAATTCATTAATAATGGCCACCACTCTACCAACTTAAGCTCTGATGGTCTCAGCTGGGCAGAGGCAGACACTCTGACTTTGCAAAGCCCGCGTTTTCCATTAGCTGTATGGAATTGTGTCTTCTAGAAAGATTTGGGTTTTGACCTTTAAGGAATGCTAATACCCCCTGCATGAATGACACACTGCAGCATGATCATTACAGGCTTGTCAATACTCACTAACAACAGTGAATTAAGAGTACCTGTCACCACCCTGTTGCATTGATCAAAGGTGCATTGATTCTGTTTTGCTGTGACATAATCCAGATACTCCAGAGAGTATGGACAGTCCCTTGCAGAGATCCTACAGGGCTGTAGGAGCTGGTCCTTTGGGGATCTTTTCTGCTCTGCAGTAACATCACATTGTTACCAATTACCATTGCTCTAGCTGAACCACTCCACTGCGTGCCCCTTTAAAACTTTAGGTTTTGTAATCAATCTCTCTAGCACAGGCAGAGATAAAAATGGTTCTTCTCCTAGATAGCAGAAATATTTGTTTGTGTGCTGGCTCAGAGCATGTACTTTAAGTCCTTCTGGGGATGGAATATAACTGGCACAAACCTAGCAGAGAAATCTGTGGTTTTGTGTCAGAACACAGGGGTTCTGCAGGGATTTTCCTGCTTTATTTCCTCTTTCAAAAGACTTGCACTAGCTAGTAAATTGGCTTTATATTTAAAATTAGCATGCTACAGGGAAAGCAGGGCAAGTGGGAGACACATGAATGTTGTTACATGTGCTGGAGAGCGAGACAGAGAAAAAGTTGGAGGTAGATGTTTCTCTTGAGTTTCCTTCCCTGACAACTGGTGGCAGTTTTGTGAGAAGGGCAAAGTTAAGAGGACTTAGAAGTCAAGAGAAGCTGCTGAGCATTCAGCACATCTGCAAATCAGTTCACTTACTAAAGTGCTTAAATAGGGACTTTGGCATCTAACTCGCTGTACTGTGGTCACTAACTTGCTGGTACCTGCAGCAGTGGTGGACAAAACCAGATTGTCACCAGTCCTTGAACATCTCCATGTTGTCACTTCATTTTGGTGTGACAGCGTAAGGCTTTTGAAGCCCCAAGGATTCACCCTCCCCCTCTGCAAGGCATCCCACTTCACCACAATCTTATCTTCACTGTAGGAGCCCTACACAGCAGAGCTGCCTCTGGACTCTGTCAGCTGTGCTTCATGTGTGCACAGGACAGGGCTGCTTGAAAAGTGCCCCCATTCAGGACCTGAGCCTTCACAGCCAGCCCCAGTCCCAGCTCCCCTGAGTCTGGGACTGACCTCGGGAGTGTCATGCTTTTTAATTTTCCATGATATTTGGTTGTAGATAGACTAAAACTTTGTGCTCAGAAGTCCTGGCATTTGATGTGCTTTGCAGACCATGGACTGTGTCTGAGATGTTGCTGTTGAAGTACACCACAGATGGAGCACCTGCACACAGGAAGAGCAGGACAGGCATGGACTGTATCAGAAATCAGAAAGAAGGTGTTGGTGGGCAAAATAAAAAGACTCAGCTTTTATCTGTTCCAGACACAGGGGTTTGCACTCTTTTTTATGCTCTCTTTAATAATCCTGAGAGGTCAAGACCTCAGTGTTAGAGCCTGTCTACAAGCCAGCACCTCTACCAAAAATAGTGTCCCCAAAGCATAACGGGATATCACTTCAGAACTGACTCAGAGGGAGAAGTGCCAGCAACTGATTTAGCTACACTGCTTTTGATAGCACCCTGGATTTTCCTTGGAGATGCCCCAGACACGTACCGACCAGCTGTAACCTTGTTTACTTTATGAGGTCTGAGAAGCCCATAGCCTGACAAGCTGTGGCTACCCAGTAGGATATGTTTAGTGTAGAGTCTAGCAACACTTTCCCAGCAAAGCCTGTATGAATTCGCATGCTCATGTTCAAAGACTTATTTAACATAACAGAGCAACTGCCTATTTGCCTAAATTGTCAGGCCAGGTCGTCTAAAGAGTGGGATTTTCAGAGTCCAATCCATGGGTCGCTTCCATGCTGAGGAGTTCAGTTTATGAGCAGCCATCATCCAGACTCTCCAGTAGCTTGAGTAACCAAAATGTCCTCAGTCCGTTCCCTTGGTTTTACTTTCTAAAAAGTCATTGACCCTTCAGAAGCCACCAGGGCTAGGAGAGGAACAAGCCAGCCTAGCCATAGTGGGCCCTCACGTTTATTCCCTGCTCTCTTCCTGAGTGTGCCTGATGTTTGCTTTGCAAAGAGGTCATCTTTGTGCATGGCCTCTGCCACTTTTCTTTCCATCCTTGCTTTTCATAATATAATGATAGAAATGAGTAATTTCCCACAGTTTTAACTGGTATGCGGCTGCTGTTACCTAAAATTAATCTTATGAAATATTGTTGATAGAAATTATCTGCCAGGTTTATTTAGTAAAGTTCCCAGAGGAATGACAAGGAGTCTCAAGTAATAGGCAGTTGTCTCCATCATGCAAATTTGGGGAATGAATTAATCAAGAGAAAGGTCAGCTGTTACTGTTATCTATCTTGGCTATCAGTGCTGATCATCACAGTTTCTGTGAGCTATTGAACAAGTCTAGACTGTTTTGGTAACAGAAACTTGTTTCCTATAGATGCAGATTTTGCTTTGAAATGCTACCCAGCTGCTGAATCTTGCAGAGCCCAGTAAAATAGAGAAGGTAGATCATACAGTTCCATCTGAAAAACAAATAGACCCTTCTCCGTTCCCTCTGATGTGGCTGTTGCAGACCATGCTGCCAGTTCTACAGTATTAGCAGGCAAAGGGCGTGAGCTCCTAAGTGTTGTCTGTCACCCCAGCTATGGGGGAGACCCCTTCAGATAGCAGAGACTTCATTCTTCCATCTCCAGCGAGGTTTGGGCTGCCAACAAAAGGCTCAGAAGCAGAAGCGTTGGAGATACTTGGGTTTTGTGAGGTGACAGCTCGCTGTTGGCCAAGCACAACCTTGTCCCTCTTTACCCTTGTTAGGAAAATGTTGTACCCACTGTGTGCAGCTCTCTGCAGGGCACTGGAGAATACCCTCTGCAAAAGGTGCCATGGTGCCAAGCCACTGCCAAGTGCACAGTCCTGGGCAGAGGCTGGGAGGCCGTGGCAGGCTGGAGCTCGAGGGAGGCCTGGGGAACACTGTTCCCCTCTTGGCCTCGGGTCTGCATCACGTGCTCTTGTGCAGAGAGCTGCTGGGAAGATCTCTTCCCTTGGAGGTCCTTTAAGCAGCCAGATAAACTGTACTGCCCAGGATGTGAAGAAAGATTGAGGATTTATGAACATTCACGAGAGCCAAATCAAACATATTTGTTTTGTGCTGTGTTATTTGTCAAAATGACATCATTCCTTGTGCTGATAAACAAGGAAATTCTGACTGCGCCCTGGTCTGAAAACGCCACACTTTGAGCTTGGAGATGTTAGATGTGTGCAGTAAGGAACTCTATGGAGCAAGTGGGGTGACTTGGAATCCTTCTGATGAGCTGATGAGACCCCAAGCACGGAAGGAAACAGGCAGTCGCTGGCTGGTACTGTGTAAACACAGAAATGGCCCAGCCCGTTGTCCCTGAAACAGCTACGCTCACTCTGCAGGTGAGAGGAGCTTTTGTGGCCAAGCATTTTGGAAAGCTTGAGTGAAAAACAGCACCAGTGGGTACCAGGCTTGGTTCGTGGCAGCTTCAGGAGGCAGGGCTGAGGCTGTCCTTGCCGCGAGGCGGGTGGATTAGTGCTCGAAATGAAAGTCCAGGCAGGGAGCGTGGGTGTGATGGAGGAAACCCGGCTTCCTCACGACTTCGGTCCCCTAGCCAGCAGCAGCTGAAACAAACTGCAGGGCAAGTCCTGCCAGCCCCAGCACGTACTGGATGCCTGTGGGAAGGTGTGGGGTGCCCCGGGTCCTGGCGTGGATCTGGGCCAGGCAGGTGGCTGCAGAGGGCAGGCAGGAGGATGCTGCTGCCTTCTCCCCGGCGAGGAGAAGCAGCTCTCCTCTGCTCAGAGCACGGGTGTGAAAGCCGGGCAGTGATAAAACAGCTCCCTCTGAACAGCAGCCTGTGTGTTTTCTGCTATACTAAGCATTACAGTAGTGAAGGTAGTTAAAGTCAGCAGCATGAAAATTAACATTTAAAAAGATACTCTATATTCCTTAGCAAAGCACTGCTATCCAAAACACAGTGTGTGGGCTTGGGTATGCAAGTAAGAAAAAAAGATTATAATAAAAAATAGACTGCAGGCATAGAGTGAACAGTTGCCGTGACCTTGCCTTTTGTATGCCATTACACAATTCAATGGCAGTCCACTCAAACCTTGCTCTCGATCAATATCCTATTAAAGCAGCACAAAAAGTCTCTATAAACTTAGTGGTTAGCTATGTTTATAAATGGAACTCAGCATAATTAGATGGTCAATAGCAGGCTGTACTTGTAATTTTAAAATGAACATCACACATTTCATATCTGTTGTATTCGGCAAAACCTCTTTGAATCCAACGATACCATGAGTAGGAAAAAAAGGCCTTGCAAAAAAAAACCCACAGAGCTCCCCTTTCCTCTCAGCAGCAGCAGCAGCACAGTGTGTTTCCCTTTGTTTATGGAGTCACAACACAGGAAAAAGTTTATTAGTCAAATGTCATGTTTCTCCCATTTAACCTTAAACACATTATCACTTCGCTGCAGTCTTACACGTGTAATGATCTTAGTCACATCTCAGCCCCTTTGTAAAAATAAATACATAAAAAAGGGAAAAAAAGAGAAACTAAATATTAACAAGACTAAGAGAGAGAGCCGTATTCCAAGGAAGACAAATGCCAGCCTGGCTGGTTTTATTTAGTGGGTTTCCTGTTCAGTAATTCAATAAATTTTTCAAAATAAATACTCCAATTGGGTTAAGTCAGAGGGCTTTCTGTTAATTTCTCTGTTATTTTTCTTGACATGGGGGCAAAGATGTGAGCTCAGAAGCTGGCAGTGGCGGGCGCAGGCTAGCAGCAGGGTGATGCTGCCCTGTGTCCCCCAGAGCAGCACAGTGCTGGTGCTCAGGCAGAGGCACCCACCTTCCTCCTCCTCCTCCTCCTCCTCCTCCTCTTGGGCAACCCCAGAGAGCAGCGAAATGCATCCTGTCTGCACAGAGATGGTTTTGTGATGCCAGCAGCTGGAATGGGACCCGAGGCTGGCATCAGGTTGTTTGCTTAGAAAGCCTGTGCAGATCAGAGGGGCTGAGTGTTAGGGGAAGAGGGGTCCTTCCTCCTTGCCCCCCGCCAGGTCGGAGCCCTGGGTCAGATGACATCTTGATGCGTAGGTGGAGACTATTGTTTTGACTCACAACTGCAGTTTCTGACATCCTTTCCTGTTTGGGAGACGTTCCTGAACTATCAGAAGGTCACTTTGCTGCAGAGCCTTTCTTACGGGGGGAAGTGGGGTGTTTTTAGTGTCATTGCCTGGGGTTTCTGCAGGCTGCAGTGTCTAACAGCTAGCTGTGCTGGCGTGGAGCTTCCCAAGGCCATAGCCTGTTCCTGGGGTGTAGGGTCCTGTGGTGTATGGAAGTGGCATGGTGGATTGTCAGATGCTGCAATGAAGAGGTTTAATTTAGACAGAGTTTTTCCACAGTTTGCACCACTTTGTTTCCTTTGCTTCCTCTCCAGAGCTGCAGCCTGTGCAGGGAATGCTGCAAATAAATCAAGTGTTCCCCTCCCATCACCTTTCTGGGCTCGTGCAAGATGCCCAGTCCACAAAGGCAGCGTGCAAAGCCATTTGGAGGAGGCTGGGGGCCTCCTGGCTAGGCTGGCTGTGTCGTGCCCACTCCCATGGCACCTTGCACCCCAAAACGGGAAGGTGAGGAGAGGAGGCAGGGCCAGGCAGTGAGCTCCCCGCCGCCAGGGCCCACGTGGGAGGCGTGAGGTGTGGCTCAGCTCGCCGAGGCAGAAAGCACACACAGCTTCAACCACATTCCAGCTGGGAAGGGGAAGTGACCTTCCACCAGCGGGTGGAGAACGTGAACCTCTTCCTGGCAGTCTCAGGGAGGGCTCTCCACGTCGACGCCTTGCCGCGTTTTGCGATAGTAAATGGGGTAACTGCAAGCATAGGTACAGGTGCCCTTTGCTGAAAGGCAGGCACTGAATGCGAGCCTGGCAGGCAGGCAGGAGAAGGGATTTCAGAACGGCTTAGCCCTGCACAGCATTTGCCACAGGCCTTCCAGGGCCAGAGACCTGGAGCTGGTTGTGGCAGGCGGGTGGCTCCTGCAGAAGGGCTGACAATGGGGTTCAGGCACTCGCCAGCATAGGCCAGCCAAGCACTCCAACCTCTGCTGCTTAGCTCTGTTGGTTTACATTAGAGGTGGGTTCTGCTCCTTAACCATCGGGTTGCAAACAGCCTCTTGAGTGCAGCAAGGTGGTTTGGGCTGGGACAAACAAAGCATCCTTCACATTAACTACCCAGGAGGAAATTGGTGTGTGATTAGCCCTTTCTGCTTTGTGCTAAGTTTACACAGCGTTAGCAATACTTTGTTCCTACCTCACCCCTGCTCTTGGAGATACACTTAATGTTCCTATAGGGCTAATTCAAGGGTTGGAACAGAAACATCCAGGATTTGAGGGGAGAGCAATAAACAGAGGGAGGTGAGAGAAAGAAGAGAAGCATTATCCAGATACCAGTTTTTCTTCCATATCAGTTTGGAATAAAACTGTTCCATAAATCTTGCAATGGCTAGGAAATTTGTCGTGCCTCAGAAAGAAACCGTGCTTTAATTTAGTGCTTGCCTTCTTATGTTCCTGTTTGGAAAATAGTATACTTAACCTGTAAGTTGGGCTTTGATAGGTAGAGGGTGCAGAGGAATTGATCAGCAAAGGGTTTACAGAGCACAAATCTGTTTGGCAAGGAAGTTGCTGAAAACTGTGGAGTAGATGCTGCAGAGAGTACCTTTATGATTGATTTCCATTCAAGTCAGACTGACTGCAGTGTGGTCATTTTTCTAACCCATAACTGCTCACACTGCAGCAGTCTGCTATCTGCAGGGTGTCTGAATTATAGCAGTCCATGTCCGTGTTACCTTTTACACAAATTACTTACACCGGTTTCTTTTTCCATGCAAATTCATCAGTTTTACAGCCTCTTGTAGCTGCTGTCAGGAAACCGTTGCAGAAAGCACAAATTGATAAAACGAGTTAATTTTACTGTGCTTAATTTTTCTTTCTTTCTGTTAACACACCCTCTCATATACCCAATGTGCAGGAAGCGTATGATAGTTAAGAGAAGATAACAAAGGAATTGAGTGTTCTTGTCATAAATTACTTCCCAACTTCATTCCTTTTAATGACCATTCCAGATTTTCTCAGGTTTTAATGTTGTTGTGTATTTTCCATCCCATGCTTTTAGAAGTCCGTGGCTATCCAGGCTGTTCCCTTTCTGTCTCGATGACGTTCTTAAAAGATCCTTGCCAAACAACAACTAATTGTCTTGTGGGGATGATGAGGCAGCTGCAAAGCTACATTATTCCTCTGTCAAATCTGACATTGTGAGCTCCTTAAGACTTGGGGTGAAATACTGGCCCCATTACAGTCAATGGCAGCACTCCCAGAAGCCTGCGTTTCAGCCCAGACATGTTAGCTGGGTGATAGGAGCTATCCTGTCTTCATTTCCTCACTCCTGCCCCGTCAGAGTGAAAGATTTTTTCGTGTTTGAAAATGGGCCAGATTCTCAGACCAAAGATTAAACTTGGCTCAACATCCTCATGTGGCATTGAGACTGCTTCGCCTTTGTTGCTGTGGATCAGGGCTCTCAGACAATACGTTTGAGGCCAAGCTTGTACGTTTTATTGTGCAGGATGTCCTTTTTCAGATGTCTTAGAAATGCAAGAGAAAATCATGATCTGTAATTGTCAGCTCCCAGAGTTGTATTGTCCTGTAAATAGCACTGGAACAGCAGCAGTGGATACGGTGCCATTTGCCATATAGTGGCTTTTTTATCTGGAATGCATTATCTGTTAAATTTAACATTAAACTGCTCCGCTCCTTTTCTGTTCTGAGAGGAACATGGCACATGGAGTTCACAGCCTTGTGCCTGCAAACTTCAGAGTGTCTTAGAATTCATAAAGTTTTAATGTAAAACCAAGGGGCTGGGACAGGGAAATTAAAGGCATTCATATCCCTTACAGTAAAACTTAGGTGCTGGGTAAGTTAACAAGAGGTGAACAGTGGAAGCTAACTGCTGGATAAAAGTTCTTGAGAACCCAGTGTCTCTACCTCTGATTTAGCTGGAGGAGAGGCCACAGGAAAACTCAGATGTTTGCAGGCAGAAGAGAACTCAGGCTACTCATCTGCTTTTGTGCTTCCTCCGAGGAGCATTTGTAGCCTCTGTGCTTGTGGATGTACATCACGTCTGTAGCGAAGGTCCTGAGGTGTGTATTTCCCTGCCCACACGGCTTGTGGATTATGCCAAGCACACTACGGGGATGATGAAGCCTGTTTGTAACTATGCCAATAGATGCAGTGGTGTCCTAAAAGCAAAAGCTACAGGTTCCATTAAATGTTAGAATGAGATGAGTGAAAAAGCAGTGCTTAAAGAAAGTCTTGACATAATTTTATTTTTTTTTTTTTTTAAAAAAATACCTTTGGAGGAATGTAAGAGTGAGTGTCATGGAACATTGCATCTCTAATAAAATTTACATATTCTTGATTGCAATGCCAGTTACCATAAGCATTTCCTAATTTCCACATCCTACCTGTTCTCATCATGAAACCAAATGCACTCATGAGGAAGAAAAAAGTGATTTTGAAGTGCGGCTCATGCCTTGTTCACATGACTTACTGACTGCAATCTCTTTTGTTTCCCCAGCACCGATAGCTGCAGGAACAGGCCCTAATTTCTCCCTCTCAGATTTGGAAAGTTCTTCATACTACAGCATGAGCCCAGGAGCAATGAGGAGGTCTTTACCTAGCACATCCTCTACCAGGTAATTTAATCTTTGCCTACTACCAGGTTACTTGGAAACACAGGCCAGCATCATTACTCATCTGAGAGAGTAACCATTAAATTCTTTGACAAGCTGTTTGGGGGCCTCAAGATGTGGAGCTGTTTCAGACTCACAAGGCTGAATGTTCAACTGGATTGCTGTTAGAGTTCTCTTTCTGTGTACCAGTTTCGAAGCAAAACTGCTGCATTGACTTGTGTAACTTCTGCCTTGTAGCTCAGTGTATCAGGAGAAGTTCCACTGGAATTGCTGGAGTTTCACTTGTGGCGGAAGAGAATTTGGAGCATACTGAGATGTGCCATTTTGTCCTAGCAGCAAAGTCTTAAGATAGACTTGCACGTGTAGCATATTTTTTATCATAAAAAGTGTTATCTATGAGACTAACATTGTTGAAGGACCTTGGCCTATATTGCATTCTAGTTTCCATGTAGCATTTAGAAGTTTGTGACTCAGCCTTTGGAAAACTGAATTGTTAGTGCAGATGACTACCCAGTCAGATTTTGATTTTGGCTTAGATGCCAACTATCAAACAAGGATATTTTTTATTTTTTCCCGTTTACTTTAACCATCCATGAGATTAGATTTATAAACAAGCCCAGTCACTCTAGTAGTCTTGAACACTATTAAGGAACCAGATTGATTTATTTTTTTTTCCCCTACAGCCACAATAGATCACTTATTTCAAAGACATGACAAGAAAGTCTAACTTCAGCCCAGGGTTCTTTTACGTTTTTATCTCAGTCTGCAGTGCCACCAGCTTTGCAGTAAGCAAGCACACATTTAAAAAGTCTCTATATTTTGAATATAGCTGCTGTTTTTACTTTGAAAAAGAAAGCATTTAAAGAGAGGCTCTTAGCAATAACTTCTCACAGTTTGCAGGGATTGGAAGAACATTCTACATCTTGCACTTAGTGTGCACATTATGAAGCTCGGTGACTACAATTCCCATTACACATCAATTAAAAACTTTGTGCTCTTTTTTTTTTTCACGTGTAAACTGCATACCCTACAGTCCTCATCATTAGCACCGTTCTCGGGAAGAATTTATTTGTGACTCCAGAAGAAAAAAAGTGAGGTTATTAATGTTACTTAAGAGCTCAGTTGTTGCTCTTCTATTCTTCTGCAAATAGCTACCACTGATAAGGAGCTAATTATAAACAGCATGGGTAGTTAATAACTTGGTAATATGTTTGTTTTCCTCTCATTAGGCTGTTCCCAGTCAGAAAAAAAAAATATTCCTTAAATACACAGACTCAGCAGAATTATCAGTCGGTAATTATATTGTATGCACACAATTTCCCCTATTGACACATAACAATTCTCTAAATTAAGGAATGGCCAAACCTGCATTCCACGCATGCCACGGGACTTATTCTTCCTGTTTCTCACAAACTCATTCTGCATACCCACCAGCTCCTACCTGTGCAGGGCTTCGGGTGGGGAGCTGCAGAGGGGAGAAAGTGCACTGGAAGATTTTATGTCTGTTAAATGTGTTCCCCCTACACAGAGGAGCCTGTTCTTGAATGCCTTAAGTCTTAATAGAATACAGATTTGGTGAAAAAAAGTGAGCTGACCCAGCCTTGGAAAAGTACTTAGAAGAGAAATTCTCAGTAACGTCCCCACGCAGTCTGTACAACTCATTATAGAAATAGAGCCAAGCTGAGTGTCTTTGGCTTTGGGATCCTCTCCCTGCAGCACTACTGAGTCTGAGTCAGGGGCCACCAGAGACCACTGAAAGGGCTCTTCTGTCTCCTGAGCCTTTGGTGAGGGAGCTGTGATATATCACAAGGGAATCCTTTAGTACTGACACCGGCCAGAGATACCTGTTGAGGGCTTCTCATGCTTGGTGGCATACAGCTGCAGAGTGAAATCCTTCTACTTGTAGGAGAACATGAACATTTGAACCAGGAATGCATTCTTCCATCATTCACTGTTCAATGCTTCTTCTTATGGGATTGAAGTCTGGTTTAATCTAATGATTACTGTTAAAAATATAAATTTGAACTGATAAACAATATGTCTTTCAGGATAAGCTGTGGAAAAATCTGGCAGTTAAAATAAGTCTTTTTTGTCCTTACCATATTCATCCAAATTGCAAAAATTATGCAATACAGATTAAATTCTTGCCTTTTTATTGACCACTGTGTGCTTTGAAAAATGTCCTACTTTTTGATCTGTAAACACCTAAATGTTAAACTTATCTTCTAGTTAAACTAACTCATGTTTAGGGTTCAGTCTAGACTCTGTGATTGGTTGTTTTGTATCTCACAGGACCTTAGTCACTGGCAACAATGCAAATCAGAAACAAAAAGTGGATGCTGAGAGGCTGGGTGAGCAGGATGGCTGTGCAGGACTTATACCTTGCCCTTCTCAGGGCCCTGAATCTGTTGTATGGTCCATAACCAAGTTAGTCTCAGGCAGGGCTAGCAAGATAGGTTCCAACAGCAATGCCTTTGTTCCTTTCCATAGGCAGAGCGTTTATTATGTGGTTTTGCTTTCTCAGCTCCACAAAACGTCTCAAGTCTGTGGAGGATGAGATGGACAGTCCTGGTGAGGAGCCGTTCTATACAAGCCAAGGGCGCTCTCCAGGAAGTGGCAGCCAGTCAAGTGGATGGCATGAAGTGGAGCCAGGTAAGCCATGGCTTTCAGGAGCCCAAGAACGTGATCTCCAGTTGCTCTGTTTTGTTATCAGAATCCACTGAATGCTGTATAGAAAGGTGATCAGTTCTAAACATCTTGTAACTTCTTCTGAGAGAAGGTCACTCTAATGAAAATACTGTAGAGGTTTTATTGCTCCTGCAGCTGTGAATGTTTCTGTAGTGTGTCACTTCTGTATTTTGGCCAAATATCTGAAGTATTTAAATAATGCAGCAAAAGATAGGCAGTCTTTTTCTGTGAAAACATCCAGATTCAGTTCTGGGATGGCGGTGGCAATCGCTTAGCAAAATGCAGTACCTGCCTGTGCTGTGCCCTACAGTTATACTGCTCAAATAAATATCCCTGAACTTGTATAAGGTAGAAGGACTTCTCAAGCATTATACAACACTTGAGCTCACTTAGTGATGACTTTTAAGAGACTTACTGAAGGAGTTGTTTCATTAACCTGTAATACCATGAAGTGTGATTGGAGGCTTCGTATCAAAATAGATATCACTGGGTGTTACACTTCATAAGGCTTAGGAAGCAGCTCGTCTGCCTCTTCTCAGTTAATTTTTGTGTGTGATCTTCCTTGTTGATCATCTTTTGGGTTACGTTATGTTACATACTTAACTGTCCATTGATCACTTATCCTGAGATCATCTGGGTGCTTAATACTATTGGAAACATTTTTCTGAGTCAGTGCTACATGCATAGGTAAGGTTAATGCCTCAGGTTTTGCTTACAGCTAAATAATCAAGTCTTTCTTGCCAATGAAAATAACAGAAGTCTTATTTGTTAAATGGATGCAAGCAGTGCTTTCATCTTCAGCCTCCCAGTGTTTGAGAAGGCCCCTTTAAACAGCCCAAAGGATCTTTTACAATATGTATTTTTTTTCTTTCTTGTTTGTTTGGATTTAAAATAGTATGCTTTTAGTTTGTTTTGAAACAGCACATGCTTGTCCAGGGCACTGTGTATAATGAAGTCTACAGCACAGAAAAGTAAATTCAACCTGAACAGCATTAAAATCAGTTTGATGGGCATTTGGCCAGCCACCTATATCCTTCATCATGTAGGAAACATACCCACAGCTTTCTCTGGAGACCCTGTCAAACAGCTGTCCTTTACAGCATGCCCAGAAAGTCACCAAATTTGGGCTATTCCAGACTGGGAGGGGACTGATTCCCGCGCCTGGGAGCCCTTGGAGGATCCCCTGCCAGCTGCCCTCTCTCCTCTAATGAGGAGGAGCCAGCTTGTGGGCCCTTATTGACTGCAGATGTGGCACTTTGGCAGGAGGAGAGGGTGGACCTGCAGGCAGACAAGTGCCAGGCTCCCCGTGACTGCCTTGCTGCCGCCATCCCCTGGGCTCTGGTGTTTTCAGTGAGGTGTCCTGCTCAGTAGGCACTAGGGGCTGTTTCCTCCATCAGCTCCAGGCTCCAGATGATGTCAGGCAGAGCTTCACCTTGTACTAGACTGGTCTGCTCACAGAGCAGCAAAAACATGAACAAAAGCTCAGTGCCCATTGAAAGGGAGAGCTCCCAACCTCCTCTGCAGACACAGATGGCTAAAAGCTGACTGTGCCACTGCTTCTACATCATTGTCAGACAGGGGACTAACTCCCCCCAAAGTTTGGGGTACTCTTCGTTAATGACAAATATTCTTCATTTGTGCAACAACCAGAGGCTGGCTATTAATCTTGCTGTCACTTCTGGTGGTTTTCCCCACATGTGGTCATTACCTCTGTCTCGTCCAAGCTGACTAGATGGTGGCACTGAGCTGCTGAGCTGGACAAGAGAAGTACCTAAAGCCTTAAACCTCCAGAGCACCCACACCACTTTTGACACCACTGGGTGCCCATCATGAAGGAGCACAACCACCCCTGTCAAACTTCCTCAGCTGCTCAGAAGGCAAGAACAAGTCAGGGAAGAGAAGGTCCTTCTTTCCTCGTGACCTTCCTCACTTTCTACAGAAGAATCTCAGATTCTGCTTAGTCTTGCCTGTAAAATGGCAGAAAATCACCTTGCAACATCAGGGACTCAAGCCAGGTACCAACTAGATATAGCTCAGATTCACCAAGCCATCTATCACTGTCACAGCTGTGAAGAAAAAGAGCTTTATCCCTCCTGCGTGGGATGCACTTTCAAACCACCTTTATGCTTCATCCACGCAGCCCCACCCCAGTACTTCTGCCATGGCTTTCCAGCAGCCTGTCCTCTGAATTCATTGCCTCAGCTTCTGTGTAAAACAGGGTCACTGCAAGAGCATGACTGGCAGAGGGGTTACCTAAAGAGCCACAGCTCATCAGTAGTGAAGGACAAAACAGTGCTGAAGTGTCCTTCCATGCCCGGGGAACAGTGGTATGTCACTGGCACAAGGTGGTGTGCCCCCCCGAGGGACACATCCTGCTGTGGTCTGTGCACAGTGCCCTGCCTTCCCTCGGATGTGGGGCTCATATTAACATCTGGCCCTTTGTGTCTGACGTGGGTGCTTTGTCTCCAGAAGTGTAAAATGTTTTATGAGTCCTCAATGGAGCATCTGCCCAGGAAGTGTATTGGTCTTCTGAAAGCCCTACAAATGTTGATAACATCCCCTATTACCCGGTGGCTTGCCGCAGAGTTCCCCTCTGAGAGGGGAGCTTTGGAGCCTGGACCTGTTTCACGTCCACCCCCCCAAGGTCTCTCCTGGCCAGAACGAGGCCTTGCTGTTTATTTAATCTACTCTCGAAGCGGTGGCGCGGCTTTAACGCGGAGTTCTCTCTGAGCTTCAGTGTGTTGTTAGTCTCTCAGCGAACCTCCCCGTAGAAGTTCACAGGTACAAACCATCTTTTTGTTTGACATGGCCTTTCCTCCGTGTGGTCCCTTTTGTGCTGCCTGGCCAGGGCAGGTGGGAGCAGTGCTGGTTTGGAAGGCAGGCTGGAGTTCCCCCTGTGCTGGCAGCGCCGCGCACGCCGGCTTCCCAAACGCTGTCATTAAACCCTGTCCCTGGGGTTACCCGCCAAGCAATGGGAGGAGGAAATCAGACCAAGGAAAGGAAGCTTAGGCTTGTCTGTGGGATGGCTGTTCTGTCTGGGAAGGAAAGTTCAGAGAGGAGCCAGCAGCCAACCTCCCAGCCCAGTCGGATCCACACCAAAGATAATAATACATCCTTTGGCTTTATTGCCTTTGAGTAGATTGCTTCCTCACAGGAGATTTAGATTTATGCAGAGATAGCTTCTTGGCCTATATGCCTTGACAGGTTTATGGGAGCGAGAGGATGAATATTCTGTCTGTGTGTGTTGCATTTGCTTAATTCTGAGGTGTGCTCATGAGAAAAAGTGGGGGCTCTACGGCCGGAGCAGGTGTGAAGCACCCGTGTGCTCATGCACGTTTAGAGACAGAGGGGAGTGCTCCTGGCACAGGAACCCTGAGAGGGTTGTAGTGAAAGGTGTTGCCTGGGACAATGCAGGGAAATTAGGTCTGCAAGAGAGGGAGGCTGGAGAATTGCCACACTTGAAAGACAGCACAACGTAGATGAGAAAGGGAAAATGAGAAGACAATTTTAGACCATACGGAAGGGAAAAAGTGTATAGGGGAAAGAAAAGAAAAAGAACAAATGCCAGGAAAACAAAGATCTGACTTCCTAGAAAGGAAATATGAAATGGAATATGTGAATTCTTAGAGAAAGAGAGCACTCCAGGCAGAGGGTTATTTACCGCCAGCCGTGACTAGTTGCTCTACATCTGTCTCCATTTTTTTCTCTTGAACAAATTCCCTTTTTGGATACTTTCTTCCTGCTTTGCTTCCCTGTGATTGCCCCTGTAAGTGGTCTTTGGAGGGCAGGCTGTATACTCAGAACATATGTGCAAACTGGCAGGAGAACAGAAGAGGACAAAACCACTCTGTGTGCTATTTAGATTAGGCAGTGGATGCTTCCCCCATGCCTACTCTTGGGGTCTCTACTGCGTGCAGAATACAGGCTGCACCTATTGTCCATCTACAGTCCTTCCTCTGAGCTTTTGCACCCCGGGGCCCCGAGGCTTGGAGCACCCTGACATCTGTCTCAAGTGGAGACGTCGCTGGACATAGACCCTACACGCTTCACCCACCAGCAACACGACCTTCCCATTCCTGGCATTTCACACCCATAGTAGTGAGCAGAGGACTCAGCCTTGGGTTTTTTTACATCTAGAGACTTCTTGCAAGCAAGGATATAGCACTCTCCTTATACGTCAGATGTGACAGCCAAAGCAAAACCCAACATTAATTCCATGTTCCTTGCACAGTACTCCTTGAGTCTTGCATCCATTTACCTGCCCTCGAAAGCTCCTGGGGAGCTCTCAGGCCTAAAAAGGCTGGAGTCTGCCAGAAAAGATGAATTTCCTTTCACAACAGGAAGGCTTAGGAAGTAAAACAAAGCAGACATGTAGTAAATTACTTCTGCTTTTCAAATACCTTTTGTGGTATCCTCCTTACCATTACTTTATCTCAGCATTTTCAGTACATAACTCTTGTTAACTGAGAGGAAGGGCAAGAGAGGATAAAGATGGTGTTAGTAACAAAATAAGGCAACATCACACCAGCTTTGAACTCATGTACAAAGCTGGCCCATGTACAGTTCTGTGGCAGCTCTGCTTGTAATGGGGGTAAGCCATAATTACAGGTATAAGGTTTTTATATCTATAATAAGAGAAGATTGAGTTAATGTATATCAGTATTCCACTTACATATGTTTTTTAATGAAGTCTCTTGATTCAGACCAGGAGTAATGTTCTCGTTGTGCTCTGCCAGTCCGTTTGTAGTGTAGCATATGGATGGTGTTTGCCAATTTTGCTTCCATTGTATTTTTACAGCGTGGCATGGAAAAAATGTTTAAGATGCAAACTCAGAGCATCCTTTTCATTTCTTTACTTAGATCTTCCTGGTACTTGTATTTCCACAAGTTAGTTTGGTCCCTAGAGGACACTAATCCCAGGAAAGGTACATGTTTGTCCTCCTTGTGCTTCTTGAGGTATCTGA